TGTTCGGTAGATGACAAATAATTTCATTTAAAAAAAAAAAATATTCTCATATCTATGACAGTTCTCCTATCTCCATAGCTCCATTCCTGTACACATTCTCTCACTCCCCCCTCCTCCCCTCTTTTCTTTTTCTCGCTTCCTCCCATACCCATTTTCGTTTCGTACCAAGCAGGCCTTTACGGTGTTTTTGTCTAGGCCACCCAAGACTGATTTTGATTGAAATAGATAACTAAATTAGTGCTATTGGCTTTTCTTTTTAAAATAAATATAGGCTAATTAAAGAAAATTACTTATTGGTATAATTCTTAATATTGTAGTGATTTAATAAAAAGAAAAGGAAAGATGGATTAGATGGAGGGCTTTTCTCGTGTATTTGCCCCCTTACACGTCACTAATGACAGTAGCGGAATATGTACTCTTACTGTTAGCTTTGACAAAAACAAATTATTATCATTAGCCAATAATCATCAGTCATTTTGCCTGGTGTTCGCGTCCATTTCAAGTGCTCATCAAATTTGAATAGTTCAATTATTAAGTAGTTTGAACATGTACTCGATCAAAGCCAATGGAAGCCACGTCAACCTGAATGCCTAATATATACATCAATCGGGTGATTGAACAAGTTGACTTTCGCCTAAATAATTGTCCTGCTTACCAACATGACAATCGCAATTGCGAATTTTGCAGGCAGCGGCAGTTCGGCACCTTCCCAACAAGAGTTGGTTAGGTGAGAACTGAGAATCAAGCATAGAAATTACAGGCATGTCCAGGACGAGCTCATCACAGTGAAGACAGCACAAAAAGACAAGCGTCCAAGAGCACTTGATCACTACAGATTTTCTATTCACATAGAAACACAACGTTAATATTAACAGAACCAATAACCTGTGATCGTAAGGTTTTCTAGTGTCTTAAATACCAAGATTTAGCAATCCTCCTACTGATTAAAATGGGTCCTGAAATAAGTAACAGTTACCACAAGCCCCATTCACAAGCAGCAAGTACGGCCAGAAAGTAAATAATAAAATTTGGAATTGCAGAGACATTAATAAATTTGAGTCACATCTAAAAGTACCTAGACCTTATAAATGATAGTAAGATCAGTTCCTCCAAATACCTTCAATCCCAAATACAGTGATTATTATTTTGCACCAAACAAGCCATATAATTAAATGGGGCAGATAAGGAGGAAGGTGGATTTAAGACCAACAAAATAAAAAGAAAAGGAAGGTTATATCAAACAAAAATAGTAGTCCTGCTATCGCCTTTTATCTGAACATCGATTCTAGTAAATGCCACCACCTTCAGGCTTCAGCCGGGAGAGGTAACTCATGCCATACTCATGCAAAAACAGTCTATTAATCGTACAAGATATCAATTGCTTTGAAAAATAACCGCATAAATCGCGACGAAAAGGAAAAACCAAAAGGAAAAAGAAAACAGCACAAGAAACAGATGCCAACATAATTGCTAGAGCATCAAACCGCACGGCAATAGTTTTTTTACCAACCATTCTTCTCGCCCGTGAAAAAGCAGAAGTAAAGTATATCTTCTCTCATTAGATACAAAACATTTAACAAATTGTAGCAATGTAACACTTTTAGACATCGATCAGCCTCAACCTCCATGACAAAGAGGGTCCAGCTTCCCATCTATCTAATTGATAAGATGTACTGTCCTTGGGCAGCACCAGACACCAAAGAAATTTGGGAGTAAAAAAATGTGATTGTCACTTCCAGCTGTGAAGATTCAACTCAAAAAACAATCAACAGCACACAGCATGAATGAAAATTTAGATATAACGAGAGAAAATCAAGTGATACAACACAATGATGAAACTGAACAAAGGTTAGGATTGCTTTTGCTTTGGCATATTATTCAAGTTTCCGCGTTTAAACATGCCGGGAACTACTATTGCCACTTGCCCACCTTCTTAAAGTGCAAGCCACTAAACTCTTCCCAGACAAAAGTCCTAACCTTGACTTGAATGTAGATCGGCCAGAACTGCTGGATGCAATAGTGGCCGATGCTGCTGCTTGACTGGGGATTGGTTGAAATTCTCCGGCGTTATCCTGCGCTGCACCATCACTAGCACTGGCATCCTGCTGTTCAGTTTCGCCAGTATCTAGATTAACAGCAAGTGATGCCCTACTTAATCTCAACCAATCTGCACCTTCAAGTGTTACAGCCTTACACTTCTTAACCTTCACTTTCACTAAATTTGGGCATCCACTAGCTAGTGCTTCCATGCCATGATCAGAGACGGGGCAGCTCTTAATACAGAGTTTCTTCAGGGCTATACATTTTGCAGCAATGCACGATATCTCATCATCACCAACTGTATCACTTCCACATAGCGCCAGTCTCTCTAGATTATGGCAATTGGATGCCAGCATTTCCAAGCTCGCTTTAGTGGGATTAACACCAATAAGGACCAGTTCTTGCAGATTAGGGCAACATCTAGCAACTGCCATCAAACCTTCATCACCTATACGATTAGCCTTCCATCCATCGATATGAAGTTTACGTAGTAGCTTACACCGATCAGCTATGGCAGCAAGCCCTAAGTTTGTGCACTCAGGGGTCTTGACAAGATGCAATATTTCTAGATTCGAACAGTTCGAGATTGCCACGAGGCCGATATCACTAATCTGGAGCCTCTCAAGGTGGACTTCAACCATACTTGGCACTCCGTCCGCTAGAAGTTTAAAAAGCTTATCCCAATCACCAGAGCACCTGAAAAGCTTCAAAGTCCTTAGATTCTTTGAGCCGAGAATAAGAGACCCAAAACACTGTCCATTGTAAAGCTCTTTCAAGCAAAGAGTTTTAAGGGATGACGCTGCGACAACCGGGTCCAATTGGTTCAGCAGCAGCTGCATCGGTAATTCCGCGGAGACGCTTCACTGATAACTCTTCGAGAGCCGGACAATTATCGAGCACTGCGTTCATCCCCTTGGATCCGAAAGTGCAAGATCCACAGGAAAGCTTCTTCAAACCCTTGCAGTTCTTGGCAAAGGCCCCCATGCCAGCATCCGTGAGTTCACGGCAGGCCCGGAGTTTTAAGCGGGTCAGATTAGGGCATCGTTCAGAAATGAGGAGAAGCGCCTCGTCCCCAATGCTCACAGATCTACGGTCGCATTTTAAAGCGAGCTTCGTGACGGAATCGAAACGAGAGAAAAGTGAAGGAATAACGGGGAGGAGATCCGATGGTGCGTTGAGGGAGAGACGGGGACGGCTCTGGCCCTCGATCCTGAGCCACCGCCGGCATACCAGAGAGCAGCGGTTGCGGTCGGCGGAGCTCAGCGACTGAAAAATGCAAGCCAGGCACTCATCGGGAAGATCAGAGATGAAGTCAGGGACGGAATCGACAACCTCATGAAAGGAATCGTCGCAGTCATCGGCGAGCATCGGAGAAACCAGGGCCGTTGATCTGGTCTTGGAGCGGGAGCCGTGAGAATTTTGGCGACGGCACGCAATTGCGGGCGTGGACGTTGCCTGGCCCATCCACGGCGATTTCTGGGAAAGACGGAGGAGATGAGCAGCCACAATCTCAGTGGAGCTCGGCGGAGGGAAAGGCAGAGGTTCTCATGTCGCGGAGCGCGGGTTCCAATTTTCCGAGACGGACATGAACGCAGATTTCATTCCGCCTTTCTGGAGTCTGTCAAGCTTTCGTCGGTCTTGAAATTTTTCAAAAAAAGCAATATCCCGTGCGGACCAGCTCACGGGACTAATGACATGGCCCCTCCCTCACATTGGCGACTTCTATTTTATTTTTAATTAAATATGAGGATTTTTGTGGTGAGTACACGTGTAAGTATGAGAAAAATTTTCCAGATAAGGAAGTGGGTAATCAATATGGTTGTTACGCCGTGCAGGCACGTCATTCACTGAAATAGACCATTTTATATGTACAAATAAAAAAATATTGAAACATAACACAGGCACGTAATGCAGGTGGATAAGCCTTGAACGTTGAACTATCAAATCAGCCCTTCCCTTGTTGAAGATCACACACGTTTCTGCAATCTTCTGCGCACAAAACAGATCATCATCGCCTCTTACCATCAGTTTCAATATGCACGATAACTGACGTCCAATATTGAATCTACAGCAAGATGTGAACAAAATTTGATCTTCGGCAAGTTTGAGGCCCGAATTCTACCGTAGCATGCAGCTTTCATATCAGTTGCAAGCATCAGCGATGATGTTGAGGATGATGCTTTCTTTTTTAATGTTTAAAACGACACTAATTCAATCTTATCAGATCATATAATAATCATCGCCTGCCTATTTTTATGTCGTTATTTAATCTGTAGTCAATTAATGAGACAGGCACGCATTAGGAGATCCCTAAATATGGTACCTGTTCATCCTGTTTAAAACTAGAGGTCCAGAGGCACTAAAAAGGAGTCCAGAGTCAAGCTAAATGGGCCTAGCCCAGAATAGTTTGGTCCAATTTCTCAGAACCGAAAGCCCAAAAAATATGAATAAAATGGGGGAGATAATATTTGGTGTCTAACCGATTCCTCGAAGAAAATAAACTGAAATGGCAGCTTGTCTTCTTCTCAGTGGAATTCAGGGGCTTAACTACCAAGGGATCACCGGCGGAATCGGTGCGAGACCTCATCCGGTATGCCGCAGTATAGCATATTGGCGACAAGCAGAAGAGAAAGTGAGTGGTGTTAATATGGGGAGTCTGAGAGCTAACTCGCCGACGCCAAGCCCAAGGGAGGCGACGTGGGATTATCGGAAATGGAGAAACAAAGAAGCGGAGATCCTCAGGGACATTGAGCCTATCCTTCTGCTCACCAAGCATATTCTTCACTCACCTAGGTAGGTAAAACATTCCTCACGCCATGATGCCTCAATCATTCTCTTTCTCAATTCCCTCTCCCTGACTTCTCAGTTGATTTCCTTAGTTAGGTACATGGATGGGAGAGACTGACTGTTGAGGATGAGAAAGCTGTGGCTGATAACCTTCTTGCCTACCATCCACGTTCCAAGATAAAGTTGCATGTGGCATTCAATCCATTATGGTAAGCTTTTCACTGCAATAGTATAACTTTGCTTTCATTTCCTGTGTAAGCACCAAGCAGAAATATATAGCCATGCTCGTTTCTTTTTAATTTTATTAATTAATTAATGCCACGTCACTGATTACTTTCCAATAGATTATAGAATGTCGGTTTATTTACAACCTAGTTGCTTGTATTTGGTTCAGAATATGCTAGCTATGAGTAACGTTACCACTTCTATAGGAACATCCACGGGATCAGCTGTGCCATCTTTCTCTCTGAATACTTTCAGCTTTATTTAATTCCGAGGCCAACTTTGGTGGGACCTATAACATTCTCATTATGGTGTGCTTTGACTACATTCCAGTGCAGTGACTGAATTTTTGTTATTTTATTTGTTGTCTCGAATTGGCCCAAGTATGATTTTATATTCATAGTTTGAGTGATAAAGCATATAATCTGCTATAATGCTGATACCCGGTTCTACATGGTCATGCTGCCAGTAAGTATTAGATGTAGGCCTTACCTCTGCCTTTGATGACTGTATATTAAGGGGGAAAAAAACTTCATCTTATGAACTCGAGCTACAAAATATGCCGAATGCTCGTTAGCGTCTTGGCATTAGTCCGTACTTTATCCTTGATATTTGATGGGGAAATCTTTGTGACTATATTCTGTATGGTTCAATCGTTCGATGTTCTTCCTTTCTGAATGAACCCTCAAAAATGTTGCTAGAATAGGAAAAGGCAGAAAAAATGGCGACAA